TTCACAAGGAGGGACTAAAGCAACTGCTTTTGCATTCTGGAGGAAAAACTTGTACAGTGTTTGATCATCTGACTCAATCTGTAACTCCAAACACTATAAGATTTAAAATGCTATTCTTTTCCATCAGCATCAACACGTTCTTTAACATAATTTTCAAACACATCGCAAAAATCAAGGAACAGATCCCTCTGAAAGGAACTAGCAACAATGAATATTCTCAAAGGAACCATACCAACTATAAAAGGAACTAGCAAGGAGTTCAAATCGGAGCCAGCTAGACGAAAAAATTCATTATTTTATGCAAAACGAAAAATTGTACTCTATACTCTTTGGCCATTAAAATAACTGAAGACTCTCAGCTATTGGTGTATTTCCCTCCATATATCTTTGTATTTCACTTAGTTACCTTCCTGACATAAGAAAAGAAAAGAAAAAAATAAAATAAAAAACCAAGATGCTCTAATCCAAGTTGCTTTTACGGTACTCTTTCAGCAACCAAACTTGTGCATAGTGCATACCCTAAAACTCACAATGCAGAAATGTAACATGCGAGGAAATTCATCCTCACTCTCTGTAAAGATTTTGTTAAATGATTTAGCTATGTTTTCATTATTTCCAATTTCCGACATTTCCTTTGAGATTAGCGGGCACCTCAGTATAAAAAGTCAATCCTTTTTGTGTGAGTCATCCCCATATCAATCTCCATGCCCTGAACAAATTCATCATCTCATTCTACTTTCACAACATGATATGTTACAGCAGTTCATGACACTTACGGTCTTCAAAGATTCTGTTCTTCTCACGGATATTTTCACAGGGTTCTCATTACCAGATAGACATCTCAAATTCTGCAGGAAAGGAGTCAATAGCTCGACCATCTTAAATTCCAACTCTACTCTTTACTAATTAATTTAATTAGTTTTAATTAATTGACTTAAAAGCCCCCTCATTAGGTATTTAATCATGCTACAGATAGTTGTGAGCAGTAACAATTTACCAAGCAGATGACATATTGGGATGGTTCAGATAAACAAATTGCAGAGTCTGTAAGTTTATGCACTCAATTTTTTACTATATGCGGATTTGTAATGTTTTTAGAAGAACAATAGATCATGCTTGGTAATGGTATGTTGATACATGCCTTTGCCTTGACAAGGATTAGAGGTCTAGTTTCCATCTTTACACGGCTAATAATTGCAGTTTGCGGCTGCCCTTTCTGACCAACCACAATACCTTCTTACCTGCTTTTAGCTCTGAAAGATAGCTAGTCCTTCCCCATGGAAATGAGACATATGCATGTAATGGTCCCTGCATATTTCCATCAGATAACTTGGCAAAATAGAGCAACATATATCATGGAACAAACAACCCAGAAAATACTCCAAAATGGAACTCCCCATACTTGAACATTGGAACAATTAACCTATTTTCTTGCTTAAATTGTACAAGAGAGTAACATGATACAAGCAGAAATTTACATAGAACTTTATAGTTCACAATATTGTATCATGTGAATAATTGCACATTCCACACAGCAAATTTACATAAGATTTTAGTTTTAGCTGATGTAAGCAGCCACATTATTCCTAGTAATGCAAAGAAGCTTCCTGTGTGGTTTCATTTACTTTGAACAAATGGGCTGTAATTGTCTCATTCATCAAACAGATGCACGCCCTGGAAAAGAGTTGCTAGAATAACAAGAGTTTTCATCTATTAATATATAAGTGTTTCACATTAGAAGTGCATCATTATTTAGTAGATTTTCGGTCAAATATTTTTCTATGCAAGAATTAGGACTTCAAGGTTACTTTGGGTCTGCATAGAACACCTCATATGATGATATTTGAGGAAAGAAATTGGGAATCTGAATTTTATATTGTCAACTTTAAGGTCGATTGCCTCATGTTGATTGAAGAGGATCACTGATCCTTCTGTGTTTTCTACTGCTTGTAGTTTCAATGATTTCCTGGTGGATTTCAAAGGCCTCTTTATCATTCTCTTGCTTCTTCGCATCCATTCTACATCAGTGGCATACAGTTCTTGATCCATTTCCACCTTCATAGATACAAATGTCCTCATATGGAAATAATGTTACTAAAATAACAAGTGTATGGGAGAATTTATTCTGACGACCTTTAAAATTATGAGAACAAATATTTCCAACCAAAATACTATATCACTAAAATATGAAAAATAAATAAATAAGGAAATGCAAAAGGTTATTTAAAATCCAAAGTGGTACTCAGGAAATCAATCAATCAATTATCAAAATGTCACTTTTTGGATATCTAATCATCAAAACGGAACGAAAACAAACTCACAAAATTATACTACAATTTGAAATGGTAAAAAAGGCCAGATCAATTAATTTCATTTCAACTGTTCTCAGCCTAATTTTCTCAAGTCCTTGCCAATGTTGAAACATAACAGAAAGCAGTGAAATCAATATTCTGAATCAGATGATTTGAATTGCATTTTTGTCATGCTTAATGCAACAATTTAAGGATACAGACAGAATATTACAATGAATGCCAAAATTTTCAAAAAGAAAACATTCATCAAGCCAGCATGAGAAAGAACTCACTGCATTAACACGAAGAGGCCTGCATACAATGCAATTTGACTCCAAGCACTCTGAATGAACAAGGAATGATCCTCTAGCAAAGGAACCAACCTGTAACGGAATAGTCATGCTATCATAATCGATAATATATAACAAGCTCAAGGAAAAAACATGGGATGAAAGAGATCCCACATGAAAAACTAGAAGGATACCAGAAGTCCTACACCAGGTTTCATGAGGCTACAGAGATCCACACAAACTTGATCACCCATTTCGGCTACTTGAACTAGAGTTACAGTGGCTTTGGTCAAGCTCTACAGACTGCTTGCTTCATTCCCTACGTCAAAATAGTCGTGATAATATTGACCAGGATAAGAAGCAACCTTTACTGCTTAGGAATCAAGGGGCCCCATCCTGAAATAGAATTACCTTTAACTTAAGAACAGCTCCAATATCTTCAACTTTTTGAACAACTCCACCCAAACCATGCTCCAAGGCCTACAAATACAAGAACATGAATATTAGAAGACACACCAATGCAATTAAGGACACAACCAGAAAACAATACGTCAAAAATGCAAATTTCATTTTGTTCCCTGATCAAAGAGTATATTCAATAGATATCTCAAGTTAGATTTGTCCTTCTGAATGATTTATTGAGATGGAAAACATTGTCTTTCGACTGCTTTGAAATGCTGCAACAATATTCTCTGCAGGTATTATCTGTAGGACATAATTGCAAATATGACATTAACGTTTTATGAATACTTGCAATCAAAGAAATAATTTTTCAAAATAATCTACTACATTAATTCTTAAAAGTGAGTGAATCGCTTGAAAATGTAAGCAAGAGATGTTCAAGGAATAGAGGTAACATCCAGCAGTTTAATTGTTTGGAATTTATAGCATGTTTAAGTGATTCTTATAAAAGGAATGAATCACTTGAAAATGTAAACAAGAGATGTTCATGAATAAGAGGAAACATCCAGCAGATTTAATTTTTAAAGTTTGAAGCAATTTCTCGGCGTAAAATATATTTTTTTGTAGAGTAACAGCTAGCAAAGATAGCATCCAAATCATTACACGAGAGGAACTTGGAAAAAAAGAAAAATGCAGTTCTTATTATCCTCTCCTCCACTGGATAAGCACAGTGTTTTCTCAAATAAAATACGCAAGTCCAAAACAATAAAGGATGGTTATTGACTTATTGATTGGGAAAATCCTGGCAACAATAGATTCTCCAGTAAGGAGAAATTAACATCCATACCTGCCCATCCAATTGATCAATAATAACATCCTCAGCCTTCCCATTTTCTGGTTGAAGCTGCTGCAATTCTTGGGGAGTTGAAACCTCAAAAATAGTGGCTTGCCATCCAAAACTTCTCCTTCCTCAATACATAGAGGATATATAAAGGCGATTGCTGTAACACACGATAATCAAACTTCAAAATAATACAAGAATAATGCTAAAACTCACATCCTAATTAGTAATTATAGCATGGAAAACAATGTAGAGGAGGATGATGAATTAAGAGAGTACTTACGGGACCAATCAATAGCAAGTTGTCTATGCTTGGAGAAGTAGATGAAGGTATTCATGACTTGCTTGCTTTCTGTCGATATCCATACCCCATTCGATTTCTCATAAGAACCGCCACCTGATGACACTGTGAACACAGAAGTCGAAGAAGTAGAACACATTGAAACACAAGAACTGTAGCGCAAATGGGTTTCCTTATTCTTGATTGCTTTCATAGAATGCGAGCTCCTTGAATTCAATCTAAGTGTGTTCCATTTAACTGCAAGTTTATTTTATCAAAATTGCAAACAAATTTGAAAAAGAAAAAGAAAAAAAAAAGGGTCATTTACAATAGACATAGATAAATAAAATGGTTTCTGGTGAATTAAGAGAAGAAATTGACAGAAATTTGGAAGAAAAGTGAAAAGGGAGTGAAGCAGGAGAAGTGTGGGAATCCCATGGCTTCTCTCAGTTGGATTTTAACAAATGGGCTTTTGTAAAATTTTGGTACAAGTGAAAGAGCATCATAATTGGCAACTGTATCAAGGTTTGTTTGATTGATGTCCTGATATCAGCTTTAAGTAATGGAGCCATGACGACAAATTTTATGTTACTCAAATATTAATTAACAATATTTATTCTGTAAAAGAGAAATAAGAGATGAAAAAAAAATTTATTTTTTTGTGAATCTGATATGACTCTCTCTCTCTCTCTCTCTCTCTGTATGTTTCTCTTCAAAATGGACAAAACCACTTCTAAATACAATACACACTCGCAAGAAACTCTTATAAAAGCCAAGGAGCCATGACATTTGAGGATCTTAACGTTTAAACCTATGCATTGATCTGAACAAAAGTTGATGTAGTCAGAAAACACATAATCATATATCTTCTGATTTTTCATGTGTAAAGTAATTATCTAGTTGGTCGAAAACTTAAACAGCACGTAATGCTCATAGGACTTTCCTGGATTCACAATCTGTGAAGGGAAGTTGGGGTGGTTAACTGAATCAGGAAATCCTTGAGTCTCGAGACATAGAGCTGCATGAGGTTTATACACAAAACCGCCTTTTCCCTTCAGGTTCAAAGTGTTGCTTGTAAAGAACTGCACACCAGGTTGATTTGTTAATACCTCCATCACTCTTCCAGACTTCTTATCATGCACAATTGCTGCTTTCTTCAACTTGTTGTTTCCACTTCCACCAAGTGCATAGTTGATGTCATAGCCATTAGTGAGTTCGTTGATCCTGCTTCCGATTGTGTTGGGTCTGAGAAAATCATAGGGTGTTCCTTTCACTGTCACAGTTTCTCCAGTAGGAATGAGCTTACTGTCAACAGGAGTGTAATGCGAAGCAAAAATCTGGACTTCTTCTGACAAGATATCACCACTGTTGTGGCCACCAAGGTTCCAAAAGGCATGGTTGACTAGATTAACCGGAGTGGCCTTGTTTAGAGCTTTTGCTTCCATTGTTATACAAAATTGATTGTCTCCAAGGAGCTTGTAGGCGGCAATTACAAGGAGACCACCAGGGAATCCTGTGAATATATATTATGAAAATTATTTTCATATGATCTGCTTTGTTGTATACCTGTAATTCATGCTAGCTCATAGTCTATACTTGACAGAACATTATCCTGACCTTGTTCACCATCAAAGCTGTGATAGGCAAAGACAATTTGAGGAGTATGACCTTCTGGGCTGTACTTGTTCACTTTCCAGACAACCTTACTGAATCCTATAGGGCCACCTGATATCCATAAATATATGTAAGCAATTCGTCAGGTTGGTATAAAAGCAATCCGAGGAAATGAAGCTTCTACTTTAACTTGGTAGCCAAGGGTGTAATATGATGTATATTTTACCATGAATAGTGTTATTCCCTGAATTAGCAGGTAGTTTATAACGAGTTCCATTCAAAGTAAACTGAGCACCAGAGATTCTATTGGCAACCCGTCCCACGGTGGCTCCAAAGGGTGATGAAGCGTTCTGCACAAACTCATCCATTTCATAGTATGATTAAAGGGAAATTCTAAATGGAAACTATAAGGACTTGGCGTGAAACACGGGATAAAGCTTCTCGCAAAACGGCAACAATAAAAAACAATAGCTTCTGCCTGTCACAAATCTATTTTCTTTCAAACAAAATGTGAAATTTTACAATATATATATATATATATATATATATATATATATATATAAACAATTGGTAAAAGTTTTATAACCAATCTAATCTATAGATATGAGAAAGCGGCAAGGTCATGCACAGGATTCAGGACTTTGTCGGGATGGTCTTTTTTTCTTTATTTAGCATAAACTTGAGTAAATAATAAATTAGTTTCTCTAATTTTAAGAAATTAATTAATTTTTTCTCAAAAATTAATTATTTTAATATTTTTTTGTTCATTCTATGTTTTTCCATTTCTTTTGTTTTAAAAAAACAAATAAATAGATATTATGAAAATATTAATGAGCAAAAGACATTTTTTTAAAATAAAATAATATTAGATTAAAAAATAATTAATTTTTGAAATAAGAAAAATTGCTTAATTTCTTTCTCGAAATTAAAAGACTAATTTATTATTTACTGGCATGAACCTTTCAACATGTAGGTCTACGCTTGACCCTGCTTTCTGTAGTCTGAGAGCTACTATTCTTGTAACTATCCACACAATTAGATGGTATTTTTCAGATTTTCCCTAAAGAAAATACTCACCATGAATTCCGTAATAGTATCAAAGCCAAGAACAACATCAGCTAGCTTACCTGTTAAGTGTTAATTTACACAAAAGAAAGAAACAAACCTTAGAAAGAAAACTGGTTTTCTTGAACTTGAAACACAATCTACGTAGCAGGCCAGAAGGAATTAACAAACAGAAAATTTCAAGGAATGATTCACAAATGAATCAAAGAAGACTGCCATATATACTAATATCAATAAATAAATAAAATACCATGTTTATCAGGGAGAACAAGGGAGACAATGCGTGCACCGTAATTAGTAAGCTTCATAGTGAAGTTTCCATTTTTAAGCTGATATATCCCAATCTCTTCCTCCATTGCAGAGCCAATACCGAGACACCCAAAGATTACCAGTATGCGAAAACAAAACAACACAGAAAACTTTCCCATGTTTTTCCACACAGAATAACAGGAAATAAGTTCGGTGTCTATGTGAAGATATGTATCCTAATATAAGACTGATTTATGGCCGTGCATTGAAGCTGAACGCGTGGAATAAAGAGGGATTGAGGGTTGTACAAAAATGAGAGATGCAGCAGTTTTGTTCGTTCCAATTTGCTCTTTTGACGATAGCCGGTTGTGTTGACTTGGTAATAGATCAACGCGACAAGATTGTTAATTTCTCCAGCTGCGGACCCCACTTCCATTTGCTAAGGAAAAATACATGCATACTTTGTAAATTTTCCTATAGTATTGTAGTGGAATCCTGTAACTAGCTCAGCCGTGAACCAGTCAATGCTTATGAGGTTGGAAAATGCTTTTTGCCGGGTCACTTTCATTTTTGTCCGAACTGGTGAGTGGTTTGTCGGCTGAAATAAAGTACTCTTTACATTAGGACACCTCTAATGCTCAGGAGTGGAGGAAACTATAAGCGTAGACCCTGTTTTATATGAAAAGAGAGTGGAGTTGGGAGAGAGATCCCGTACTTTAAGGCTCAGGATTCTGGGTATTTAGCCTTGAGCCCACGTGGTTTGCTGTCCTTGCTAAGGGTGTTATGGTTATTAACCCAAGCAATTTGTCTATCATTCCATGGAGGTACGTTGGGCCATTGACAAGCCGTTCCTTAAGGGACGTGGGCTAGGGAGGGCATCCGGTCAGATCAGAATGGGTTTTGTTTTTAATCTATCCACAATGGACCCAATAAACCACTATTTGTATCCGATTAGACGAAGGTCTTTTTCAATGGTTGACTCGATTTTTTTTTTAATCTTGTAAAAAAAATACTTTAAATTTCATCCTAATAAATTGTACTGAAAAAAAATCTTATATACTCAATAATCTTAATTTTCAAAATCATATTAAAAATATTTAAGGCTAAATTGTTAAATATTTCTTTGAACTTAAAAAAAAAAAAACACAAATATTCTTCGAGCTAAAAGTCTTATGTTTTTTTTTCCAAAATACTCAACATGATTTTCTTACTACAACCCTTTTGTTAGAATTTGTTGGAAAATTGATTAAAACCCATAAAAATCCTCCATTTTCCTCTATGTTTTCTACAATAGATAAAAGAAAAAAAAAGAAACATAGAAATATTCAAAACTCTCTTTAGTGTATATTAGCCTATGAAGAAAATATTCCTTATTACGTTCCTCATTCTCGGTGATAAAAGTAGCGTAACGACACCCATGTTCAAATTTACGAACATATTCCGTCACCGACATGTCCCTTGGACTAGTTGTAAGAACTCTTGAATTTTTTGAGACCTCACTACATCTAAGAAATATTTCTCATTAAATATCTCCTTAAATCGAACCCATGTAAGTCGCGAGCCTTTGAGGGGAACTTTCATTGACTCCCACTAATTTCGAGCATCTTCAATCAACATAAAGGTCGTACATGTTATTCGATCCACATCGCTTATAGCTAAATGCTTGAAAATAACCTCAATGGATTCGATTCATTCTTCCACAACGACGAGGCTCGGGTCGCCACTAAATTCCTTTGGGTTAAACTTTTGAAAACACTCCACCACTTTAGCCCGCTGTGGTGGTCGTGCTTCAACCGGCCCATGACAATTCGCTTATATTATCCTTTGCATGTGTTCTTCATGCCTTTCTTGTTGTTGTTCCATCATTTTTTGCTACCTTTTAAGCAACTCCATTAATTCTCCCTCTTGGTCCAACGTTGCTCAGCTCGGACCCATGCCATTACTAGCATTATTATTACCAACCCTTTTTGGTGACATCATTTCTCTCTCTAATTCACGTGTATAAACAGCAGAAATCACATCATTTAATTAATTCTTTAAGCATTCACTTTAATCATATCATTCACTTTGCATTCACTTATAACACATTATTGCATTGCAATAAATCATTCATGCACATAGCATTTTAAGCATAACAACCTATAACAACAAATCATCATGCCTTTCACATTCATTATTCACATTCACTAAGCAATCGTAACATTTCAATCATCAAACATAGTTACTTGTTATCGAAGGTCATCTCCCATGTATCCTACTTGTGCCTTCCTTTTCTTCCTAAATAAACTATGCTCCGATACCATGTCTATAACACCTCCAACATAGGATTTAAATAGGTTAAGGATATTATCGTCGTGCCTCACGATGCATCGTGTCATCCCTATTTATAGTCTAAAATCTTAGTACGACTCGATGGCATCGTCGGTAGGCTACCGTTCCTTCCGCACGACCTCCCGTTCGCCTCTAGTCGATCCTCCCACCGAGCCCACCACATAATACCGACTCGCTCTCGCAACAACCAAGTAATGGGTGCAACTACAAACTCTTACAAGTAGCAGAGTCCATACACGGGATAACTCTCCTCCATGTATAGATGTGATCAAAACTAGATAAACTTACTCTATCATTATCCTAAAGGAGTTCTACACAATCTATGTTTGTACTTACCGTATAAATAGTTACAGCAACACAATAAAGTATATCAAAGGAAAACCATTCATAATCTTCTCCCTTGTTTAATTCAATCGGTATCGAGCCAAAACCTTTCGACATCACCGTCGTTCCCGTTTCTATCTCCAAAAAAAACAATGACTTCCTCAAGTGCAACCTCATCCGACAATGAAAACTCTACTCGCATCAAAAACCATTCCACCGAGTCAACTCGCCAGCTCCCACCATTTTCTCTCTCTCAAACTCACCCACACAAACTATCTATTATGGCGTGTACAAATGAAGCCCTTCCTCCTCGGCCAAGGCCTTTTCAGCTTCATTGATGGCTCTAATCCTTGTCCTCCACAAAACCCCATTTCCACCATTTCGACCTCCCATGGGCTTCTTGGATCCAAGCAAGACCAACCGTTGATGAGCGCCCTTATCTTCTCCCTTTCAATCGATGTCCTCCCATTGATCATTGATCGCACTACCTCCCGTGACGTTTGGACTGTCCTTGAGAATGCACTTGCATCTCCTTCCAAGCACACGGATCATGACCCCGCATCCGTCACTCCAAAATCTTTGCCGAAACACAATGAACTCCGTATCTCGGTTCCTACATCGGGCTAAGTCAATCAATGATGAGCTTACCGTAGCGGGACGACCACTCTCTCCTATAGACTTCAATTTATATGTTTTTAAAGGCATCTCTAGTGACTTTAAAGATATCATCACCACCCTCTCTACAAAACCGAACCCGTAAACTTCATCGATCTCCACAGCTTCCTTGTCGGCCATGAATTTTTAAACACCGAAACTCGTCCAGCGACCACGATTGCCCCACCAACATCCGCCTTGTTACCAACTCTTCCCATCGCAAACCTCATCCATAAAGATCGTTTCAACAACAATAACCGTAGTAGAGGTCGACACTCCCGTGGACGTGGGCGTGGCGAGTTCCCACCACGTTATAGTAATCCTCACTATGTATCCGAAAACGAAACAACCGGCACCCAATTGAACAAATACAAAAATGCCGACTCTGTTCATCATGGAATCATACGAGCATTGCATTATCCGCAAAGGCAGCTTCCTTCTCCTCGACCATCTGCGAACATCTCAACTACTTCCCCTGTCGCCTCATATGCCCGACCTTGGTGTCCGGACACCGGTGCCTTACACCGTGTAACACCGGATCCGTCCGAACTTCAAGCACATATGAGCCCTACACCGGTCCCGATCAACTCCAGAGTTAGTAATGGTGAGTACCTAAAAATTCTTCACATAGGCACTAGTTCTATTTCCACACCCACCAAAACATTACGGTTACTTGATGTCTTACATGTCCCCGAAATAACTCGTCCACTCCTTTCGGTAAAAAGACTAACCCGTGATAATAATTTTTTTTTTTAATTTCACCCCTCTCGCTTTCGTCTCAAGGACTAGGTACACAAGCAACCCCCGCTTTTGAGCCACGGTGATGCCGATCGCTACTCCTTACCACCTCGCTCCATCCGCCCATCTCCCTAAGTTCACTCTGCAAGGGTATCCACTTCGATCTGGCATTCTCGCCTAGGACATCCTCATCATAAAGTCCTAAGTCTTATTCTAAAAAATTTTGCTCGACAAATTCTAGAACATTACCTACTCCTTGCTTGTCTTGTCCATTAGGAAAAGCAAGTCATTTATCTCTACCATCTTCAAAAAATATAAGTCCCGGTATTTTAAACTTAATTTTTAACGATGTATGGGGACCTTCCCCTACCGCCTCTCATGATGGCCATAAATACTATGTCACCTTTGTTGATCATTTTTCAAAATTTATATGGTTCTACCCCCGCATAAAAAGTCGATGTGTTTGACTTGTTTGTGACTTTTTAAAAAATGGTTGAACGCCAATTTAACGAGTAAAATCAAACAAGTACAAACAGATCAGGGTAGAGAATTTCGAAACCTAACAAAACTTTTTAAATCACTTGGCATCATACACCGCCTCATACCCACGAACAAAATGGAACCGTTGAAAGACGACATCGTCACATTGTGAAAACTAGGCTCACCCCGTTAGGTGAAGCTAATGCCCCAAAACATTTTTGGCATTTTGCTTTTGACACGGCTATCTTCTTGATCAATAGAATGCATTCCCTCGCCAATTATAATATTTCACCTTTTGAAAAAGCCTTCAAAACAAAACCCGATTATTTATTTTTAAAAGTTGTTGGCGATCTATGCTTCCCCTTTTTACATCCCTACAACGGACATAAAATGGACTTTAGAACAACCCCATGCATATTTTTTGGATATAGTCCTTCCCACCTAGGCTATCGTTGTTTTGATAATAAAACAAATCGCCTTTACATTGCTCGCCATGTACGGTTTATCGAATCCATATTCCCCTTTGCGAGTCGGCTACAAAATCCTCTACAATCCCGCCTACCCCATCCATCCCATGGGCAAGTCTACCCGTTATTCATCCTCTATATCCTACTAGCACCTCTCCCTTCACTTCGCAGGTCGGTATCACCGTGCCTCGTCAAATGGGTCCCCCAAACAACGAGTAAAATCAGCTCGGCTCACATCCCACACCGAATAAAAGCAGCCTCGTCCGTCGCCACAACAAGCAACAATTCCCACCCACAAATTTAATACATAACCAACACCACCAACCCAAAACCCATAACCCATTACCCCTTCACTTACACCAAACAACACACGAAGCCCAAACCACCGACCACGGGCTCGGCCCCCTCTACCAACCCAACTCATCTCCATCCTCAACCCCCGGCCATCTTATACCTAGTAATTCAATAAATATATCACACATTATGTTCCCTCACAAAAAACGAGCACCAGCAAATGCTACCCCCAAGCTCACCCAAATATCACCACCCCGGATCTCCCACGGACGGCCCTTCTCCTCACAACTCACCAACTCGCCTATCCTTTCTCCTTATGCCGACGACCCCACCTCCACCCCATCGAGGCGTGTGCTGCTCGCCTCCTCACGAGCTACCCACAAACCACTAGAAACGTCTCGTCGCTGCCTCCCCTATAGATCAACTCTTACACCCAACCCATTCCCAAATAGATCAATCAAACTCTAACCCAAACCTCGAAACTCACAACCCCAACTCACCGATCAACCCTCCCTCCCCACCCGACCTTAACCTTCTACTAGATCTCGGTGCCTATAACTTGTACACACACACTACATGTACCCCGGATCACCCACCCCCGTTCCTTCACGGATAAATCATATGAAGCTTCGCCCGAGGGGTCATCCACGCCTACCCGAGGCCAATTTGGCAGCCTCTACATCATCGGTTCTAGAATCACCTAGTTGCTTCACCGAAGCCAAGAACTTCTCGAGCATGGCGATCTACAATGGCCAAGAAAATCTCGGCCCTCCTACAAATCGGTACTTGGTCTTTTGTCCCGACCACATCGGATATGAACATCATTGGAAATAAGTGGGTTTTCAAGACCAGAAGCATGTTGATGGTACAATCGAAAGATACAAAGCACGCCTAGTAGCTAAGGGATACCACCAACTTGAAGGCATTGACTATAGTGAAACTTTCAGCTCTATGGTGAAGCTATCCACAATCGAGTGTGTCTTGACTATAGCAACCTCTCATGGCTGGCCGGTTAGGCAACTTAATGTGCACAATGCCTTCTTAAATGGCAGCCTTAGTGAGACAAGTATACATGAACCAGCCAATGGGGTTTGTTGATAAACGACTTCCACACCATGTTTGTAAGTTACACCGATCCTTGTACGGGTTGAAACAGTCGCCAAGAGCATGGTTCTCCTATCTCCAACAGTTCCTACATGAGTTTGGGTTTGCTAGCTCCAAGTCCGATTCGTCTCTATTTGTTTATCGACACCAAGGTCACAAATTGTTCTTACTTATATACGTGGATGATATACTGGTAACAGGAAACAATTTACCCTTCCTACAATCGGTGATAACCGCTTTGGATGCAAAATTTACCACTAGAGATCTTGGCCCACTTAACTATTTTTTGGGTGTGGAAGTTGTCACTACTGCTAACGGGCTCTTCCTCTCACAACAAAAGTATATCACCGATCTCTTACGGAACCGTGGTATGACTTCCGTCGTCCGGTCTCCACTCCAATGCCCACCACTGCAAAGTTAACCAAAATAGGAAGTGACACCTTCTCCGACCCAACATTATATCGTTAGGTAGTTGGAGCTTTACGATATGCAACCTTAACCGTGCCGGATATCTCATATGTTGTAAACAAGGTCCGCTAGTTCATGCATAACCCACTTACGAACCATTGGGTTGTAGTGAAGCGCATACTTCGATACCTTAAGCACACACCCAATCTCGGTCTCCACATTCGTTGATCAAACGATCTCACTCTGTCGAGTTTCTCGACTCGACTGGGCCGGCTCATTAGATGATCGATGATCAACCGGTGGGTTTGCCGTATACCTTGGGCCAAATCTCATATCATGGAAGTCATCCAAGCAAAAAACCGTGGCCCGCAGACTCTACAAAAGCGAATACAAGGCACTTGCGGACTTGGCGATAGAAATCTCTTGGCTTACCACCCTTTTGAGTGAATTGGGTGTCTCTCCCAATTCACCACCGGTTCTTTGGTACGACAACATCGGAGCAACATATTTGGCAGCAAACCCCGTCTTCTATGCCCGCACAAAACATGTAGAAATCGATTTTCACTTTGTTAGAGAAATGGTATCAAGGGGAGCTTACGCGTGCGATACATTTTCACCGACGATCGGATTGCCGATATTCCGACCAAACCAATCTTAAGTGCTCGGTTCACCTTTCTACGGGACAAACTCACACTTGACGATCGCCTACTATTAGTTTGTGGGGGAGTGTTAAGCCAAACCGACTCGCTCTGCAACAACCAAGTAATGGGTGCAACTACAAACTCTTACGATAGCAGAGTCCATACACGGGATAACTCTCCTCCATGTATAGATGTGATCAAAACTAGATAAACTTACTCTATCATTATCCTAAAGGAGTTCTACACAATCTATGTTTGTACTTACTCGTATAAATAGTTATAGAAACACAATAAAGTATATCAAAGGAAAACCATTCATAATCTTCTCCCTTGTTTAATTCAATCGTAGGCTACCGTTCCTTCCACACGACCTCTCGTTCGCCTCTAGCCGATCCTCCCACCGAGCCCACCACACAATATTAAGAGGAGGATATGGGATTAGAGGAGCGAGGGTGAGCGATAGGGTACTTAACAACTTTGTTTTTTTTTCTTAATGAAACGTACTTTAGAATGGTATTGTTAATATTATTTCATTTTTAATATATACGTTGTTGCGTATAATTTGTAAATATTAATTATTAAATGTAATATTAATAATTTAAAAATAATTACAAAATTGTAATAAAATAAAATAAAATTAGTGATGGACTAGCAACTAATTCATTTTCAAACTTAGCGACGTAATAACGATGGCCTAGCGACTAATTTATTTTTAAACTTAGCGACGGACTAGCGATAAATTCATTTTCAAACTTAGCAACGGACTAGCGGCAAATTCATTTTCAAAATTAGCAACGAAATAGAGATGAAATAGCGACAAATTATGTAGCGACATAATAGCTATGGAAGAAATGATAGATCCCACGACAAGATTAGCGACATATATTTTTTTCGATTAGCAATGGATAGTTCCTCACTAAACCTTGTGACGGAATGAATTTTCCATTGTAAAAAATTAGCTACAAGCGAATTAGCAACGAAAATTTTTCCGTCACTAATAGAGATTAGTGACAAAATTTCATCAATTAGCGACGAATATTCCGTCGCTAATTGCTTATTTATTTATTTTTTTTGTGGTGATATATACATACACATTTTCTCGACATGAATAGATAATCAAATAAATGACAATTACTCACTTAAAACATATAGGCATAGAAACATAACAAACAACTAAAGATTATAAACACAAACATTCAAAACTTGATCCTAGCATGACATGTCCCTAGTGGAGTTGTCATTTTATCGACGTGGGTCCATGAAGTGAAACACATGCTGAACAAGGAGTCGTCATCTAACTATTAAGGGAGAATTAGAAAACTTTAAACATACTAGCTCGCAAAGATATCTAGGTAAGAGGTCGGTTATTTATAGAAAAGATGTAACATCACCATCATCCCGTCCTACCTAAGGTAGGCTGAATTGTTTGAATGTAAAAATAAAAATCTAGTTTTTTATTTTTTTATTTTTATTTTTACTATGTTATGCTTCTATACCTATTTAAGTGAGTTTATTTTATTAAGATGTAAAAACAGAATTGTTTAGGGGTTGTGTACATCGATTTTTATTTTTTTGTTTCAGTATATCAACTTTTTAAAAAATTTCAATCAAGTTTTTTTGTTTAATTTTTCATGTAATAATGATATGACAGTTAGCAGAAAAGACTAAATGGCTATATTGCTCTTTTTTCTCCCAAATTGTTATTATTGTTTGATTATCAATTCAAAAAAAAAAAAAAAAAAGATGGAGCTAACATTCAAGCGTGCCAACTACATTGGTTTATTTTGTTTTTTTTTAATTAATAGTTAAACATTAATAACAATTTAAGAGAAAAAGGAATAAAAAGTAATTTGGTCTTCTGTTTTAACTGTAATTTTATCACTGTATGAAAAATTGATTGGCATTTTGAAAAAGTTGATTCATTGAAATGAAAAATAAAAATTGATATATACAATCGAAAAATTATTGAAAGTTAATATATTTATTATGTAATTTCTCGTCTTCTTTTGGACTCTTAATATTTTTTTTGTAAGTTTGAAAAAGTTAACTCAATTAGTTTTATAAAAGGGCAATTTTAATTCGAGTAAATTTTCAATTAGTCCCTTTATTTTCAAATAAAGAGTTGATTAAATTATTTTTTAAAATATTAATGGTTAACCCCTTCATTTAATTAGTGTTGAGAGTAATTAATTTAATATTATTTTATTTAAAAAAATTCTATCTCGTCAATGATTTTGTATTTTTAATTTGTTATTTATTTTTTATAATTATGAAAAAAGAGAAATTTTCTTTTTAAGTAATAAAAAATAGTTATTAATAATTATTGTTTAAACAATAAGGGCTGACAAGTTAGAAAAATGGGACCCACTTCCAAGTAGTGAAAAAAGTTTCTAGCCATGCCATAGAGTATCAGTGCATAAGTAACTGTGTCTGTGATCAATGCTACTCAGTCCCATGCATCACTATTTTGTTCATCTTTTTCAAATTTACAAGGGTTAGTCATTTTCTTTGGAGAGAGAATCAGAGCCTTAAATTCATAATTTTCTAATTTCTCAGCACCCTTTTCATCTTCTTCTACTCCTCTCTCAGTCCAGAATAACTGATACCAAAACTTTAAAGCCATGGCCTTGGATTTAAAGTCCAGCGTAAACCGAAAGAAAAACAAGACGAGGAGTGAAACATTGCTTGTTAAAGGCAACAAAGTAGAAGTCACCAGTGATGAAGAAGGGTTTAAGAGAGCATCGTACGTTGCAAAAATTGTGAAAACTTCTTCAAAAACACAAAAAGGCATGGTCTTGGTTGAATATGAGTCATTACTTGCTGATGATGAAAAGACTCCGTTGAAGGAGTATTTTGATGCTTCCATGATTAGGACTTTGCCAGCAGACACCAAAAAGTTAAAATCTTTGGAAGTTTTTGATGTTGTTGACGTTTTTTTCAAGGATGGCTGGTGGAAAGGTGTCATCTCTGAAGTTCATAATTTTGGAGGAGAGGACAAGAAGAAGACCATGAGATACACTGTTGTTTTTGACAACCCAACTGACAAAATTGAGATTGGATCTTCAAGTTTGAGGCCTCATTTCGATTGGTCTGGTGGTTCATGGGTTAAACCCAAAAAACAAAAGGTGGTCACTTTTTTATGTCTTTGCTTTTAAATTTCTTGTTTTGAAGCATGAATGCATCTGGGTTTTGGTTTTTATGAGGTTTTGTGAGAAAGTTGTTGTCTTTATTAGTGTTGGTGGAAGGAAAATTTCTGATGGGTTGATTTTTAAGAACTGGGGAAATAGGTGCATAAAAAAGGCTGTTGTTTTTAATATCCATTTGTTGCTTTATGACTTTGTGTCTCGTGGGTTTTGAGCTGTTTGTGGATATAATTTTACGCAATGCCCTTTTTTCACTATTTCCTTCTTGGAATTGGCAAGAGAGCGATGCAAATTGCCTTGTTAACTAGATCAGTTTGCGTCATTTGTAACATACTGTTTAGATACAACTATGCTTTGATGCCCTTTGTTCGCCTTTTAGAACTGTTGAACACTGGTGGATAGGACATTTTGTAGGCTGTAGCTAATAGAGCAGACCATGCATAGCTAATTTGTTTATTAAATAACTATCACAATTTATGATGTTTCAAATTGTTTATTAAATGCTAAAACTACTATGAAGATTTCATTGTTCTTTAAATTAATTTTTTGATATGTTTGATAATTAGTGCATTTTGTTGCATTGTGCCATTCCATTACATTTTGATCTTGAGACTCGTTAAGTTTACCATAAACATTTTGTTCAGAAGACTGATATGGTTTCTTGGTTATTCAAAGAGAATGAAAGGGTTGAATTTTAGCAAAGGAATGGTCGTAGTAGTGAATATTGATGAAGCAAGTTTAAGAAATGATTGGTTCGAAGCAGCTGTTCTTGATGAGGTAGGCTTCAATTCTTTCCTGGTGCAGAAGCTGGGTAATTCCGAACATGAGAGTGGCTTTATGAAACTAACAGTAGATTCCTTCCACATACGACCTCCTCTTCCTAACTTGGAGTCAGAAAACTTTGAACTCTTGGACAAAGTATATGTTTTTTACTGCTCAGGTTGGAGGGTTGGCTTCATCAACAAAATTCTTACTGAGGGAAGGTTTAATGTCAAGGTGAAGCATTTAAATGTGGAAAGGGAATTCTGTCACTCAGAAATAAGGCCAAGCATGGATTTCATAAATGGAAGCTGGGTTCATTATCGCAAGGTTTGCTTTGTTCTATTTAGCTTCTCCCTGCTGCAATGTGGGATAACTGCTTTCTGCTTCCTTATGAGATATAACTATGGTGCTTTAATTTTATTTATTTTGAATGACAAGGAAGCTAGGGTTGATCTACCCTCAACCCGACACACACACGCACACAAGCCACCGATGGAAAATGTCATCTATAACTGCATGTTCTTCACGCAGGGAGTATATATCTAACCATATAAATGTTATGTAATGGAGCACTGTTGTATGTTATTGAATATTAGAAGCATTTGAATGATCAAACAATGTATTAGCTATTGCGCAATTCATTTAATCTAGTAAATCTTTTTGATGTTTTGACAATTAATTGAGTAATTCTTCTTGATCTTTGACTACATGTACAAATTTAATTTGCTCGTGTTTGAATATCTGGAAAACCATATTGCTTCACAGTAACTTATGTAGGGGGCTCTTTTTCTGGACGCAATGAATGATGCTTATAGTCTAGAGCAGCCATCATTTGCCTTCAATGCCAAAAGTCTAGAGATAGCTGCTCAGCTCGAAAGTTCAAGTGCTGCCAAGGATGACAGTAATGAGAAAACTCCTTGCACAAATTCGGAGAAGAATCCAATGGAGTAATCAATCTCTTTTGCTGCAACTTACTCTCGTAAAAGAGGATTTCTGACTTCTTTTAAAAAAGTAAAGCAGACTTCGCCTAACAGGGAGCCTACTCTCTCACTCCCTTGCAAGAAGTCTGGAGTGGACACATATGCCAACCGCTTATTTTCCCCAGAATGTTGTGCAAAGTTAATACCGGTTGAGAAACCCAACCAAGGAGCAGAAGTCTCCATTACCTCACAAAAAGAACAGTCGACGCATCATGTGGCTTACAATCAGCCTATCACCGAATATGAGAGCCTTTCCAGGCAAAAAAATGAGGTAAGTGCAGCTTTTGCTTTTGGAAACCTTTATTAATTAAATCATTGAAACTAGATAAACAAATTTAATGATATGTAAGCAGTAAATCAGGTGAAGGTTACTTATTGCTATCATGGTGTTTATTTTAATATCATTGATAATAAAGGTTGATGTTTAGTTATTGGGCCAATTTTTTTATGATGTTTAGTGTTGTAGTTTGCTCTCTTTGCCACTTGGTCTAGAATAAGTGCCAAAATCTTAGGGATTTACTGTGTGCTGCATTAATGGATGAAACTAGCAATCGAGTCTTTTTGATTTCCCCGAAGAGTTTTTTTATTTTTTTATTTTTTTATTTTTTTTTACTACCAGCTCATTTTAATAGTGCTTTTCATAATATTACAGGAGCCTAACCAACAAGAAAACGTAGTTGAGAATGAAATGATGATTTCTGCAGAAGAGAGGGGCACGCAACCAAGTTCACAGGTTGCAAGCCAGCTGGTCCTAACTGCAGCAGTGCTAATGCAGGAGACTAATCAAACTGAAACTGGAGTTGCGGAGAAAACGTTGGTTTCTGTGGAAGAGGGGGCAGTGTCGCCACATTCACAAGCTAAAAGCCAGCTGGTTCAAATAGTAGATGCATTAGTTGAGGAGACTAATCAACAAGAAACTGCATTCGAGGATGAAACAATGATTTCTGTGGAGGAGCAGCAGATGCCACCTTGTTCACAAGTTGAGGCCCAGCTGGTTCAAATAGCAGGTGTGAAGAAGCTGGAGGCCTATCAACATGGAACTGGGATTGAGGATGAGACCATGGTTTCTGCAGAAGATGGGGGAATGCAACCACATGTACAAGTTACAGCTCAGCTGGATGTAACTGCAGGTTGGTACCTTTTCAAATTTGATTGAAATTTGTTAAAATAATTTTATCTGAAAATTGATGCACATTTTTTTTCTCTTTTAGGTGAAGAGGATAATGCTGCTTGAGGTGGTGCAGTTAAAGAGGTGAAGTTGCCTACAACACATGCGGAACCTGTAGGTATGTTGGTCTGTCAACCTGAGACTTTGGAGGAAGGGAATGACTGTTGGGTTTCCCTCCTAGTTGGAGGATGGCCCAAAAGATTTGCTTACATGAGCTCAACTTTAAAACTCATATAGAGGAGGATTTTTATTAATCACTTAAAGAGTAATTTTGATATTTCTAAATAAACCCTATCTTTCCTTTTATTCTGAAATCAGATTAGGGAAGAAGTAAGAGAGAAAAAGAAGAGAAAAAGGAGTGAGAGTCGCAACTTTGGAGAGAAAGAGGGAAGAGAGTTTTAGCACAGACTAGTCATACTAAAATTGAGTTTCTAGGTTCGTTAACCGTTGGATCGAGCTCAAATTTTGTGAGCACGTTCAGGAGAGGCAGCCGCACATTCTGGACGGTGGAGATCAGGTTCTGAGTCCTGGAGAGGGAGATATTGTGCTTGTAACAGTGCTATTTTTTGGTAAAATCTGAACTTGGTTTCTTCTACTTTCTTTTTGTATCATCTTTTGATGTGGTTTGCCAAGGATGTGTAACCTTTGATGTTTATGGCTGATTATTCATCTAGTTTAATCTAGAGAGGACTCCTTGTACCCATTATTATTGATAGTGGAATCCGGTCCCGTGGTTTTTTCCTTCTCAAATTGAGGAGGTTTTCCACGTAAAAATTTGTGTGTGCTTTGTGTGATTGTGATTGGTTGCTTACTTTTCAGATTATTAATTACTTGTTTGGCTTGGGTATTTGGTTGTAGCCCGTGGTTGATTGTTCAAGCAAGAGCAAAGGGGTTCTGCTGTGTTATTTGTGTTTCTTTGTCCAACAATGACATGAGAGATCTACAAGTAAAAATGATCACTCAATATCATCAAATGGATGCGTCAGTCAATGGTGAGCTATCAGAGCATCCACTGGTGTCAATTGTGAAGAACTCACCTGTGTGGGACATGATTGAATCACTGGACGTTTTCCAAAAAATGCCCCAGAAACCACATTTCAATCCTTTGATCAAATGCAAAGAGATTGAACGTGAAGGATATGCAATTGGAAAGATGGTGCAGTTTGCCACAGTGGTTGAGAAGACTTCTGGGTTGCAACTGGGTAACCCTATTAATGTTTTCGATAGCTATTTGAAAACTCTTGCTGACCTGAAAAGATATGGATTTGACGTCGAGGTAGTAGTTTATCGTATTAATTGTCTGTTGTCAATCAAAGAAAGCCAAGTACAACTTCAGAGTACATCAAAAGAAGTTGAGACTCAGATTTTAAAGAGTACTTGTGAGAGGATCAAATTGGAAGAAGATATCGAGGCAATCAACAAGAAGATACGTGAACTAGAAGAGGAACGAGGATTGGCCTTGTCAAAGAAGGAGAGCAAAGATTCAGAGATTACTAGCTTGCAAATGCAATCCAGGGGTATCAGTGCAGACATTTCAAAGGCTATTCTTGATTTTGAAAATCAAGCTACTGCCTCTTGGTGATTTTCATGTTGTTGGGTCCTCTGCTGACAAAGATCTTTTATTAAACATTGGCTTGCTTATGACTGCTTTTGGTTGTGTTAGGCATGTTGTATCTAACCTACGAATGAACTGTTTAATGGTTATGTCATTGAAAATATTACGATTGCTCCTCATGAGCAAAAATGCATATAATATTAGGCGAATTGAAGTATTTTGAGGCCTCAGATTTGTTACTCTTAACAAATGGATGTGATGCTGCACATGTAAGGGCGGATCGTTGGTGGTGGCTTAGACGATATGGAATTCTTGAAAAAAGGCATCCTATGCGTAGATTGATGACCCCAAAATAGCAATGTGGTCATTATGGATATGTTGGTATGTACAGGAATTCAGAGCCAAAATGAAACCTTACATAGCCATGTCCAGCAGACCTCATAATGGAGTCTTACGTTGCTGGATTTTTCCAAACTCAACTGAAATGAAGGAAACATGCATAGGGAATGGAGTTAGAATTTTTGGATTTGTCATCAGTGACAGAGTCTAGATAGATTATGGTTCTGCACACAAATAAGTAGTGCTGTTACCGAAGTTGAAGACGCATTTCATGTTTTTAGCTATCAGAGGTGGTTAAAATTGACTCAACGTTTTTTTTTTTGAAATAAAAATAATAGATTGTTTTTCAAGTCGCTGAATTTGTAATAAAATTTAAATTTTAGTATCCAGACTCTTAAAATCTAAATAATACTCTCTATGAGCCACAGAACATGTTAAAGACATACACATTACGAGTCCTATATTTGAAATTGTTTATAAATATCTAATAAGTAATTGATTTTTAATCAAGTTTGCTTTATCCTCTTTTAAATTTTACGAGTAAATGATAAAGTAGTACTTCTAGATTGAGATATGAATTACCTAATCTTTCTTAGTTTAAAAATTAATTATTTGATCTCCGTATTTTTAAGCTTTCTTGTAATTTGGTCATTTTTTTAATTTATTTTGATTTTTTATTTTTTTTAAAAAGAAAAAAATAAGTAAAAATATGAAAAGATGGATGGAAAAAAATAAAATTCTATGAAATATAATAATATTAAATTAAGTATGGCCAACATTGATTAAGAGATTAAATAATTAGTTTTTCAAATAAAGAGAAATTAATTAATTCGTTTGTTGAAAATAGAGAGGTTAATTTATAATTACTCTAAATATTACTAATAATAGACTAAATTAGCAATCATGAATTGGTCATCTTGAATAATTACTGCAGTCTGTGTTTTACAGGCGAAGAGAACAACGTAGCTGGAGGTGAGTAACATGGAAATTGAAGTTAGTGCAACAAGTGATTGAGTTCATATTTTTAGCTGATGGTTGTGATACAATATAATGGTCATTATTTAACGTATTCAAATATGTCCATTAGCGTTATATGTTATTATAAAAAATATAATGATATTTCATATAAATAACAATATTATACGTTTTATTATTAACAACTATTATATTAAAAGAATTAATTCTTTGTATTTTATTGTTATTTGAGTGATATTAAATTATTAGAATCCTGAAGAATGATTTAGCATCCAAACCACTGGTATAGTGCCATGTCTAACAGACTTGACAACTAGTCTACAACTCAATTTTGCTGTCCCACTCACTAAGCATATAGAGCTCTTAATCAGGAAGGACAACAAATGCTTGATATCAGAAATAACAGGACTGATCTCCCAATCTGGAACCTAGTTAGAATGATGGCTGACATTACAGCATCATCAGATCCAATCGCGATGGGGCAAGGACTAAGATTAGGAGCAAAATGCAGGGCTTCCCCAATTGCCATTTAGGCAGGATATAATCTTCAAGATTATATTCGAGCTACCATGCATGACCATTTGGTCATTAAAATTTGAGTTCAAATAACATAAAAGACAGCTCTTTATTTGTAGACAACCTGTCATGTTAAACAGAGTACAAGAAAATTATTTCCCCACTCCTCTCCAACCATGTTTCTTAATGGCTAACATCGTCATGCTGTTTCTGTTGCTGATACTACTGCTGCTAACGAGGAAGATGATCGTAACACAATTAAGGATGGTGTCGTCTAACCAAAGCAGATGAAAACAACTGTGACAACCAATCATTAATTACTATATATATTACAGGCCTTTATGAAACAAAAGTAATAGTGAAACACGTGAACTACGAACAAGAGCACAGTCATTGCACGTTTCTTCCATTTTGGTTCTTTCAGGAGTACAATTCGTTGTTTAGGAAACCATATCTAAGTATGAAAAGGAAAGAGGAATCTGCCAAAAAGATAGATTCTTGCGAGTGTGTGTCCTTATTTCTCAAATGTTTAGGTTAAAATTGGCAGAATTGTTAATCCTAGGGGCTGGTTCATAATTTATTTATTTGACAAGGCTATTGTTAATATTTTGAATTTTTTTTTTTTTTTTTTTTTTTTTTTTTTAATGTTGTACATGTACTTGTTGTCCTCATATTATGTTTTAAATTTTGTAATTCTAGGATGTCCTTTGATATTTTGTTGTAATTTATTCATTATTCTGCAATCAATTAAATTATCGATAAGAGGTCGGTTCGGTATTTACTTATTTGATAAGGCTATCATTAATATTTTGATTTGATTTTTATATATATGCTGTACATATACTTGCCTTCATATTGTATTTAATTTTGTAATTTTGGAACGTCATTTGATATTTATTTGTAATTTATTCATTATGTTGTTGTCAAGTTAATTATCGATAAGGGGTCGTCGTGGTAATATGTTTATTTGGGCTAGTTTCTGATTAAATTTTGGAGGATATCTCTCTTGGTGATGGATAGGTGGACATATGGGCTTACTTCCAAACAAAGCGGTCGATGGCCGACTCTAGCTTAGTCAGCTAGCGAACATGGGTTAATGGGTCGGCTTGGGATCCACTCGATTAGGACCCGGGTTTGCATTCTTTTTAATTCAATCTCTTCCAAAATCAATTGTCCCTCCTAATAAAATTCACGTTGTCACCAACCGCTTTGATCCGAGAGAACTACCGACTTACTCGATTGAACTCCATTTGGTATTTATTTCGATTCTTTTATGACATGTTATGAGTATTTTATAGGCTAAGGGTTGAATTGAGTTTTATCTAGTCTAGTGTGGGATCGTTAGGTCTCCTAAAGGGTAGGGGCGAGATGATGATCTCATATCAAGTTTGATATGCAACTTAAAAAAAAAAAAGAAAAAACTTTCATCTTTGGTTAATTTGGAAAATTAAATTGAACTAACGAGTCTCTTATTGAGTAGAGATAAATGTTCTCGACACCTTAAATAAAAAAATAATAAATAAGAAAATTAGTTAGGATAGATATGGATCATTGTTCTTTAGCGCTTCAAATTAAATACTCTTAGTTAATAATATCATTCCTTGACGTGTCAATCATATCGAACTAAATTGAAATGGATCCGATGCTAAATTAATAAAAATCCAAAACTTGAGACCCGATGCCAATTTAATACGATTCTATGATTACAAAAATAAATAAAATTATTCTTTAAAAAAAAAAATAGACAAATAAACTTGGAAATAGCTTTAGAAATAATTTGACAAATGTATCTTTTAGGATATAGTTTTAGGATTAAACTAAATCCGATATATATCCTTGGAAATGGTGTCTTTAGGTGATTGTTATTTTTTCAAAAGCATAACCAACTCTTTATTAGATTTTCTAATTTATGCAACACTAGGTGGTGATTCTAAAACCTTATTAATTCTTTTCTCTTAGCAAAAATTTTGGTAGTATCATAAATGTCGGATAACGATAGACAACAACTCAAATTCCTATTTTTTATGGACAACACATGATTATTAGAGCTCTCTATAATAACCCCAATTCGACTCTCATAATTATTTTATTTTATATAGTGTAGATTTTTCATGAATTATTATTATTATTATTATTATTAGGTTTTGTTTCATTGAATGTTTAAATTTTTAGTTTAAATTATCATTTGTCATTTTATCATAAATACCAAAAACTAAAGGAAAAAAAGAAAAGAAAAAGAAAAGCGAGATATAAAAAGAAGAAGAGAATATTAATTTTGGATTTATAAGATTTTAATTGTAATTAATTTAAAATTTTTATGGGTTAATTTAGAAATACCAAAATCCTTGGGAACACAATTGAGAGCAATACGAGCCAATAAGTGGAAATCAAGGTTAATATAGAAGGTACATTTTAATTCAAGTTTGGGCCATTGATGGGTTCTCTAGTTTTTCATTCAAAACATGAGGGAAGGGATTTTTTTTTTTTACGAAAATTTTGTCCTCATAGTTCTAAGATCCTTTCAATCGAGTCCCTCATACGAATGATTTTAAGGGAGAAATGGATAGAAGCTTTAATCCTATAACTAGTTTAGTTTTTATTCATTTTGACAAGTCTACCCTAATTATTTTAATATGAAATTTTTAGAGTATATATATATATATAACTTTTGTTTTAACTTTTGTAATTTTAGGAGTTCATTTATTATTATTTTTTCAATTTATTTATTATTTTTCCTTTATTTTAATTATTAATGTGAATTGTTTTAAAACTTAATTATTATGTCCAGTGTTTAATTTTATTTTAATCTGATTTTTTTAGGGTTTGCTCATGTTTTTTTTTTCTAAGCATTTTTTATGACTGTGATTTTTGGAGTTCATTTACTATTTTTTTTTTCAATTTGTTTATTTATTCTACTAGTGTTTTAATGATTAATGGAATTTTTTTTGGTAACTTAATTACTAAGACCATTTTTTAATTTTATTTTTAAATTGAAATTTTTAAGTGTTCATTTGGTTGTTATTAGCGTGTGTTTTAAAATTTTTAATTACTGGAGTCTATTTAATATTATTTTGAAATTTATTAATTATTTTTCATTATTTTAATAATTAATGTGAAATATTTCAAACTTTAATTATTTAGTATAGTATTGAATTTTATTTTAATATATAATTTTTTAGGGTTTGTTAATGTGTTTTTCCTTATCTTTTTTTTGAAATTTTATAATTTTTGGAGTCCATTTACTATTAGTTTGGAATTTATTTATTTATTCTGCATGTATTTTAATGATTAATGTGAGGTTGTTTGAGAATTTAATTATTATCCAGTTTTTAATTTTATTTTAATATGAATTTTTTAGGGTTCGTTCATGTGTTTTTCCTTTGCATGTTCTTTGAATTTTGTAATTTTTGGGATCCATGTACTATTATTTTGCAATTTATTTATTATTCTATCATTATTTTAATTATTAATGTGAATATGTTTTAGAATTTAATTATTAGGTTTAGTGTCTCATTTTATTTTAATATGAAAGTTTTAGGTTTAGTTCACATATCTAGCTTTAGCTTATATTTTAAATTTTGTAATTTTTGGAGTCCATTTATTATTTTTTAAATTTATTTATTATTCTACCACTATTTTATTTATTAGAGAGGTTTTGTGTCAAAATTTAATTATTTGGTTCATTGCCCAATCTCATTTAAATTTGAAAATACGGGGATGTGAATGTATATATTAACGGGTTCTCCATAATTTTTTGTTGAATTTAAATTTTTTTTGGTGTCTATTTCTTTTTTCTTTTTTTCTTTTATCTCGCTTATAATTTAATTTACTTATTAATGCTATTAAATTCATTTAGTAAGATGTGAGATCTTCCAGTCTCCTAGATTCTAAAAGCCGATGACGATCTCATATCAAATATAGTTTGTAATTAGAAAAGAACACATCATCTAGGGGTAATTAGTTAACTTAATATGATGTAAAATAATAATAATAATAATTTGACCTAGATGATAATAAGCGTGGAAAATAAACTTAGGAAATAATTTGGTAAATAAAATTTTTAGGATATATTTGTAGAATTAAACTAAGCTTAGTACCTTTCTTTGGAAAGACATTGTTATCTTTTGAAAAGTATAACCAACTTTTTATCTAAAATCTTTGAATCCAATGCTTTTTTAGGCTTTTTATTTTCCTTTAATAGTAGGTGGCGACTCCAAACTTTTTTCTTAATTCTTTTTCCTTTAGAACACCGATAGAAACATTATATTGTATCTTTATTCTATTTATACTTAGTTTATTTGCCAATTTTTATGTCTTGTTAGAATAATCCAGGCTTATATTCATATTCAAGATATAAATTAGGGATTCGAGTAGTAGTGCTTAAAAGTTTGAGAATTTTAACATGATTAACTTAGACATTTTGGGCTTCTTATAAGTTTTTTGAAGCCTCAAAGTTAGATTTATAAGAAGTGGTATTCGGATAATTTACGAAGGACATCTCAAGCTTTTTAGAGTTATAGTGGACCAAAATCCAAGTTCGTTTGAGCCTCCAAATGATATTTTATATTTTGGTCTAGAAGGCTGATCCAAACTCTATTCGAAGTCTAGATCGGTTGTAGAGTTTAATTCGTATACGAGCTTCAAAACTCCAATTGATGCAAGGCCAAGCCCATGGAATACTTAAGAGGGAAACCCGTAATTCTTATAAGGTTTTGAGTTCAAAATTGGTCGATCTAATGGAGGAATTCATTTGCAAAGTGGAATCCTAAGGCTGGATGGGCAAGTTAAGTTGGTGGTAGTATTTAGCTCATAAATAAAGCTACATATCTCCAATTGATGCTATACTTTATAAGTTGGAAAGGTCATAAATAAGGATATAATTTTACGAAGAAAAAAAAACTCAAATTTGGCATATATCTAGTCCATTCTAGTTGATTATTCAAGATCCATAAGCTCAATTAGCTTCGCCCTTATGTGTGATAAAGTAACAATGACACTGCGGTAAGAGCTAGGGATA